TCTTCAGCTGAGCGCAACTATGCTCAAATAGACAGGGAGGCCTTAGCTGTTGTTGCTGGAATTAAAAAATTCCATGATTTTTTGTATGGAAGGCATTTCACGGTCTTCACTGACCATAAGCCTTTGTTGGGACTGTTTACCACACGTAAACAAACTCCCCAAATCATCTCCCCCAGGATGCTCAGGTGGTCTATCTTTTTGTCTGCATATGATTTTTCCCTACTTCACAAGCCTGGAAGGAAATGGGCCATGCTGATGGCCTCAGTAGATTACCCCTGCCGGTAATAGAGGCTGACCCCGCGCCAGCCATCAATATTCTCTCCATTCAAGCCTTGCCCGAGTCCCCCCTGAATGCCAGGGATGTAGCCGCTGAATCAGGCACAGATCACACACTCTCACGTGTCCTTTCTTGGGTTTTGTCTGGATGGCCTGAGCACTGTCCTAGTCCTGAGTTTCAGAGTTTCTGGTCTAAAAGGAACGAGTTGTCCACCTCTCAGGGTTGTCTGCTTTGGGGAAGCAGAGTTGTCATTCCCACCTCAATGAGGACTAGGGTCTTATCTTCCCTCCACGAGGGTCATCCTGGCATTGTACGAATGAAGGCTCTTGCATGCAGCCACTTGTGGTGGCCAGGTGTAGACAAAGACATAGAAGCTAAGGTGCATGCTTGCCACCTTTGTCAACGCTCACGCCCTGAAATGCCCCAAGCTCCTGTGCATAGATGGGAGGAAACACAATCTCCATGGTCTAGGGTGCACATTGACTACGCTGGGCCCTTTCAGGGTCAATTCTTCTTGGCCCTCGTTGACAGCCATTCAAAATGGCTTGAGGTTGTACCTGTCTCTTCCACCACCACTGCAAAGACGATTCAGGTACTGAGGGGGATTTTTGCTGCACATGGGCTTCCAGACGTCATTGTGTCTGACAACGGCCCTCAATTCACTTCCTCCGAATTCCAAGCTTTCTTGCAGGCTAACATGATTCGTCATGCCACTTCTGCACCTTTCCACCTGTCCACCAACGGTATGGCTGAACGCATGGTTCGCATCACCAAGGACGCCTTGAAGAGGCTCACCTACGGGGACTGGCATCACAGGTTGGCTGACTTCCTCCTTTCTTATCGCACCACACCGTCCACTTCTACAGGGAGAAGCCCAGCTGAACTTCGTTGGGGGCGCAAACTGACTACCAAGCTTGACCGGTTGCATCCGGACAGACTGCCTCCTTCTGTCTCACACCCCAGGGCACCTAGGCAACTACTTGTGGGTGCCCCGGTTTGGACTCGTAATTACGGGCCTGGTCATACATGGGTCCCTTCTTCTATATCCAGGGTCACAGGTCCTCTATCCTACGAGGTATCCCTGGACAATGGTCGTGTCCTGCGTCGGCACATTGACCAACTTCGCCCTAGATAGGACCTTCCCGCTGAGACTCCTGGGTCTTTTCCAGGGGGGGAGGGGGAGCCCTTTGGGCAAAGGGAGGGGCATGGAATGCTGCCCTTTACCAATGAGGGAGCCACAAACGTTCCATCCCAAAATTCCGCGAGTGCTCCAAACAGGAATTCTAGGAGCTTAACTAGTTATCAGGCATTCACGCCTACTCCAGCCAGGGAGTCACCCCGGGGGCATGATCACTTTTCACCCGTATCACCCAGTACTCCAGTCAGAGAGAATACCCGGGAGCATCCCAACAATCCATTCCCTGCAAGAGAGCTGACACACACTCCTCCTAGTTGGCCTGACTTCAACCCTGTCCCTAGAAGGGGGCAAACACACAGGGAGGTGGTCGAGGAACCAAATCCCGACTACAACACCTCTGACTACACTCAGGGGACAACTGAGTTTTGGGACAGTACTGAAACCCACACAAGCCCGGACACAGAACGGGATTCAGGGGATAGACAGCCTCCTGACAGGTCTTGGATGGACCTAGGAGGTTCTACAGAAACGCCCAACAGTGACAATCACTTAGAAGGGCCAGAGAGCCTACAGCTAGGCGGGACAACTAGGTCATACACTGGAAGAAGCCCTGGCCTGACGAGCCCGGTGGGCAAACAAGCAGGCCAGGCATTGGAGCACAGTCCTTGGGGATCACCAAGGCAGAATGGAGGGAACAGGCACACGTCACCCCTCAGTCAGGGAGTACCTGGCAAGCACCCAGAGCTTAGGAGGTCACAGAGAGCAAGGAAATCTCCTAAGTACTTAGAGGATTACATAACACTATTGGCTAAACAGAGCCAGTAGAAGGGTAGAAACACTGAGGCAATGGAAACAGGGGAACTCCGAACATGGAGGGGAGCAGAGCATTGTACTAAGAGTGGGTTGTGTATTATTTGGCATTGGTCGTAGTTTTAGCCCGGGGAAAAGGGGTGTTATGTCCTGAGCCTTGCAAGTCAGCTCGGGGCATTGCAGGCGGTCCCGGGCAGGTGCAAGCTGCCCGGGACCAGATAGGCTGTCGCCAGTGCTTGTGCGCATGCGCAAGTGCTGGCGCGCGAAAAGTAACACATTGACCCGGGAAAGTCCTATAAAAGGAGGCTGCGAGGTGTGGGCTTTTGCCGCCATATTCCAATGTAAGCTGAACTGAAGAATAAAGGTTTCCTGAGAACTACAACTGCTTCTCGTGTCTTACCATTTCGCGACGGACTCAACAGGTGACATCATAGCAGTCTTCCAATATTTGAGATGCTGCCACAAAGAAGGAGGAGTCAACATATTTTTCAAAGCACCAGAAGACAAGTCAAGAAACAATGGATGGAAACAAATCAAGGAGAGAAGCAACCTAGAACTAAGGTGACATTTCCTAACAGTTATAACAATAAACCAGTGGAATGACTTGCCTTCAGAAGTTATGGGTGTTCCATCACTGGAGGCTTTTAAGAAGAGCCACTTGACTGGAAGAGTATTAAGTCTCCTGCTTGAGCAGGGGGTTGGACTAGAAGACCTTCAAGGTCCCTTCCAGCTCTGTTATTCTGTTATTCCTTCCCTCCTATTGCCTTTATCTGTGCATATACAGATTTGGATTTTTCTCAGAAGCAAACTGAATCCTCTTCATCCATGGTAGATATTCTCTTGATATTCTCTTCTCAACTTCAACCAGTGAAGCTTTGTTTCCTAGACAGCATCACCACCAGATGGATTCGTAGCTGACTGACCAGCCATATTCAGCATGTGGTCCTCAATGAAACTGCATCTACATGGAGGGAAGTGTGTAGTGGGCCCAGTGCTCTTCAACGTCTTCATCAATGATTTGGATGAGGGACTAGATGGGGAACTCATCAAACTTGCAGACGACACCAAGCTGGCAGGAATAGCCAATACCCCAGAAGACAGGTTTAAAATACAGGAGGATCTGGACAGACTTGGACACTGGGCACTATCTAACAAAATGAAATTCAGTGGGGAAAAAAGTAAGGTTCTACATTTAGGCAAGAAAAACCAAATTCACAGGTATAGTATAGGACAGGTTGTACCTTGCTCAATAGTAGCAACTGTGAGAGGGATCTTGGAGTCCTAGTGGACAATCACTTAAATATGAACTGGCAGTGTGCTGCAACTGCCAAAAAAGCCAACACAGTGCTAGGCTGCATTAACAGAGGGATAGAATCAAGATCACGTGAACTGTTAATGCCACTTTATAATGCCTTGGTAAGGCCACACTTGAAATACTGTATCCAGTTTTGGTCACCACGATGTAAATAAGATGTTGAGACTCTAGAAAGAGTACAGAGAAGAGCAACAAAGATGATTAGGAGACTGGAAGCTAAAACATATAAGGAACGATTGCTGGAATTGGGTATATCTAGTTTAATGAAGAGAAGGACGAGGGGTGACATGATGGTAGCGTTCCAATATCTCAGGGGCTGCCACAAAGAAGAGAGAGTCAAGCTATTCTCCAAAGCACATGAAGGCAGGACAAGAAGCAACGGATGGAAACTAATCAAAGAGAGAAGCAACCTAGAACTAAGGAGAAACTTCCTGACAGTTAGAACAATTAATCAATGGAACAACTGGCCTCCAGAAGTTGAGAATGCTCCAACACTAGAAGTTTTAAAGAAAAGACTGGACAGCCATTTGTCTGAAACATATAGGGTTTCCTGCCTGAGCAGGGGGTTGGACTAGATGACCTCCAGGTCACTTCCAACTTTATTATTATTATTAATATTATTACTATTGTTATTATTATTGTTGTTTTGTTGTTAATAATAATAATAATAATAATAATAATAATAATAATATCAGGAGTGGGGCAAGGGAAAGAGAGCGCAGTAAAGGTAGTCCTCGACTTACGACCAAAATTGGGATCAGAATTTTCATTAAGGTAGTTGTTAAGTGAGTCACACCTGATTTTACAACCTTTTTTGCCATAGTTGTTAAGCAAAAGAATGCAGTTGTTGAATGAATCACATGATCATTAAGCAAATCAGTTTTCCCCTATTGACTTTACTTGTTGGAAGCTGGCAGGAAAGTCAGAAATGGTGATCCTACGACCCCAGGATGCTGCAACCATTGTAAATACATGCCAGTTGTCAAGAACCCAAATTCTGATCATGGGGATGTTGCGGTATTTGTAAGTGTGAGGATCCATTGTAAGTCACTTTTTTCTGTGCTGTTGTAACTTCAAATGGTTGCTAAATGAAAGGTTGTAAGTCAAGAACTACCTGTATTATTTCAAGAAATATAACACAGGGGGGTGTTCATCACTGCTTCCCAACATAACCAGAGCTAAGGCCATCCATGTTTGTCAAATACCTAGAAAAAAAGTTTGCATTTTTAGTAATTTACTCTTGCCCTATTTTGAATTTCTCTCTGAGAAATTTTGCTTGCCAGAGAAAACTGAAACTCTGTCCTGCGACACAAAGATTTTTGTGGGTGGGAGATGAGGAAGTTGACAAAAGCAACCTAAGGTTAGATCGCCCTTGTTCTTTCTCATAAATAGCTCACTTTCCCAGTCCTGTTACACGAAGTAAAAACAACAGTTCTTATCAAAATCAAGCACTACTCTGCTAGATTTTCATAGGATGTTTATTAGTTGTGCACCTTCCATATTGTTCCTCTTAATCATTTGAATGGAATATATTTTGTAAATAGCAGTTTATCTCCACAGAACGATTTGTTATTGTAATAGAACAAATGTCAGATGGGTTTACTGACCAAACCAGGGAAGAGAAAGAGCTTTTCAACTCTGTTATCAGACATACAGTAATTGTGGTCAACTTTAGTGGGATACCACAGATTATCCAGTTTCCGTGGACTGGATAATCAGATGCCAGTGGTGAACAGGAAACCTTCATCTCAGCTAATAATCAAGAGAAATACTTCTCCAATATATGTGTGCATGCCTACATAAAGCTATATACATAAATATGCCACAGCATTTTACAAAACTGCAGGAACAATAATTCTTCATTTAGGTGAAGAGTGCATTTACAATTTCCATCCTTTTTGCTTTCATTTCGAACAAGTGTAGTAGAGGTATGAAATCACTGAAAATATTGACGGATGGCATCCATATCTCACCTGGCTGATGTCACAGGGATCACATTCTATGCCTGCCATAATTCTACAAGTAAAACAACCTGAGATAGAATGATTCATGTGGAATGTTCATCAATGGATCCTCAATTTGATGAAAGGGTAAGATATTTGAATGAACCTAAAGATACTGAAGGAAATCAATGCTGGATCAGTGAAAGACCGGATCAGTGTGCAAGACTGAGCTAGAATTAAATGTCAGTTGTGTTAGAGAAGAGGGCAGGATCCCAACTTGAGATCCACTCCACTGGCTGGAGAGCTCTTCCAGGCCTTCTCTCTTCAATTACTGCTTGAAGTCTTTTCCACAGAGGTGAATGTTTTCCTGTCCCCACTCAACACTTCAGTCTTATGCTCAGGGGCTGTTTTGAATTCTTAGTTGTCTTTGTCAACATTTCCTTTAGCTCCTGGAATAAGAAAAGCAAAATACATGGAAAGAATTAAGAGGATTGTCAAAATAACTTAGTCAGTCATTAGAATTTGGACACATGTCAAGGTTGATATTAATTTCACATCCTGTTCTTCACAGCGACTAACTGGATGTTCTTGGGAAGCACACAAAAACATTGTGTGCACTCCACAGCTTTTCCTTTCTCAATACCTCACGGAGATGGTTTGCTTGTGATTTGCAGTCTGCTTAGCCATCACAGTGAATAACTTTGAACTGATCCCACCCCCTTCATCTTCCTTCTTTTCAATAATCTTTTGAAAACCTCTGAGATTATGGTGGCATCACATTACATGGCTTTAATGCTCATAATCTAATTCTTTGAAACCGCTATTTGCTACCTGTTCTTGATTTTGTTTTAATCTCAGAGTCAGTTTCAGAAATTTTGCTGTTGGAGACCAAATATTTCAACTTCGAGATGGACCTAAGTGTTTATGCAACTCCCTCTGGTACAAAATCAATCAGCATTTGCTGCACAAACTCTGCTCTCCAGCCCACTCAAATATAACCTGATACTGCCCTCTGATTGGAAAACTTGAAAACCACAGATATATAAACATACCTTGGCTGCCCCACTGGATTCACTGGTACTATGTTTGGCAACTTTCCAGTCTCTGCAGCAGCCTTTAAGATCTCCTGGAGTTTATTTTGTTCTAAAGAAAAAGCAGAGATAAATTTGCACATAGTAATGAAAGGAACACCAGCCTTCCTACCACAAGCACAAGATCTATTCCCCCCCCCCAAGTCAAAATATTTGGGTAAAAATTCTCTTCAGTAGGTGCATCCCAACATATGTGGAAGACACCAGGTTGCAAAAGACCATTCTACTTAAAGTGACAAAATAAACTATGAAGAATTATTACTCTAACAATCCATGCTCACATATTTTAAATATCATGTTAAGAAAGAACTGAGAAGGAACTCAAGACAGTTGTGTAATTTGGGACAAGGATCAGAGAACAGTAACTACGCTGGAGAAATGAAGAACTATTTCCATTCCCCAATTTGTGCTTCTTAGTGATAATAACGCCTCGTGTGGCCAGAGTCATTTGATAGTGAGATGGGAGGCATATAAATTTAATACATACATACATACATACATACATACATACATACATACATACATACATATTCTGCTTTTCTGCTTTAGTTTAAGAGCTGGTACCAATTAAGTTTCTTATTGGCTTGAATTTGACCAAAATTACAATACCAAGTCCTTTCTGGCCTGAGCTATCTTTTAAGCTAGGGGTAGCCTGTAATGAACATCATTAAACTCTACTATCCTATTCTCAGATTACTTACTAGAGGAGGGCTTTTCAACCTTTTCACCCATTGTACCACTTTTAGGATGTGGCAATATCTGAGTACCACCAGTCGCCTAGCAAGGTGTCAAAAACTTGATGACCAAAAAAAAAAAAAAACAAAGGAAAAAAGTGATAAAGTACAAGCAGTCCTCGACTTACAACAGTTCGCTTAGTGACTGTTCGAAGTTACAAGAAACTGAAAAAAGTTCCCCCCAAGCCACAGCCGAGCAAGACACCTGTCTGCCCACCCGGCGGTGCTCTTCCTCCTGGCTGAGGTTTTCATTGTTGTGAGCATTTCTGTTGAGGATTGGCAGCGGGAGTGGGGTAGGGGGGTGTTTGGTTTTTAATTCCCCCCATCTGCTGGGTGGTTGCAGCAGGTTTTGGTCACTTCACATGATTCTGGGACACTGTGACCGTCATAAATATGAATCACTTGCCAAGCATCTGAATGTAAATCACAAGACCCTGGAGATGCTGCAACATTTCAGCTAATCGGCGCTTCTTCTGGGCTCAGCAGAAGCCCCAGGATCAGTGCCGAGCTCCAGCTGGAGCCTGGCGTTGATCCTGGCACTTCCACTGAGCCCTGACAGCCCTGAAGAAGCGCCAATCAGCTGGAAAGCGGCACTGATCCTGGCACTTCCGCTGAGCCCTGACAGCCCTGCAGCTCCAGCCATCTCTCGCTCAGGCTTGTGCTCAGCTCATTCCCCTCCCCCGCTACCACTTTTCTAGGATGGTCACGTACCACCTGCCAGGTGCCAATGTACCACAGGTGGTACCCGTACCACTGGTTGAAAAGCCCTGTACTAGAGGATCATATCAATACTGTCCAATAAGTTCCTGAAGGAAAAACTGCTCCTCCTGTTTTATTCCAGGAGATCAGCAAAAATCTCCTGTTGAGCATCCAAGAATCATTCTATAAGTATCATTTCCAAATTCTTAAGCAGAAGGTCCAAGCAAGTGTCAGAACTTCTCTCTAACATAAGGCAATTGGACGGTGGCTCCAAATTTTGATATTTATATTGCTAATTTGGAAAGGGTGGTTCATGTTCTTTGCCATGTTATCTTAGGGCAGGTATCTTCTAAATTATATTTTTGGTGGATTCTGCTCTACCATTGCAGCAATTTACAATTGTTTATCAGTCATGATGTAGTGCAGAATAAAGATTAGGGCTGGCTAATGGGAGCCAAAGGAAGTTTTCCTCTATCACTTTGCAAGAAATTATATGAATATTTTCAATTTAAATTTGGGACTGCAGGAGCTAATTCCCAATGATCTGTGGTTAAAAGCTGGAGTCTAGCAGTGCTTTAAGAGCAGCGGTATTTGTATGTAACCCTGCCTCAATTTTCAGTCCCTTACAATCTTTCCAATGCCTCGATTGTCTTGAGTGCATTCTTAGTCAATTGTATTCTTCTCCTTCCTGATTTTTATCCATTTTAGTCATGAGCCAGTGTTATTCTGGCTAGGGACACTAGTTTGAAATGAACATTTATTTTCTATAACGTAAGTTACCAAACCAAACTACTGAGTTTGAGGATTGTCTGTTGGAATTGTTTCTAATGCACCCAAATACTAATTTAATTCTTGCTGGTTATCTTAATACTAGGTGGGGCCCTAATACTGGCCCTTTGTTAGGTACAGTACCGTATATATTCATGCAATGGTATGACATCTGCCCAGTGGTCTATTCCTTCCTAAATTTTACTGTGTAAAAAATAAGGGAACTAATAATGTGTGTGGAGGTACGTGTGGCTTGGCTAAATAGAAAGCCAGAAAGGTGTACAGTGGTAGTTATTGGGGAAGCAGTGGAGAGACCCACATTCAAGTCCAGCCCAAGACACAGGGCTCCATGGATGACTTTGAGCCCAATCTCTCTTAGAAGGTTGTTGTTATGGAGGAAAAACATGAAATAATTGCTATGTTGACCATCTTCAAAATGGAAGTGGGGGGAAATGTAATAACTAAATAATTGATCACCATTTTAATCTAGTATAAATGGGTTGGTTGAATGAGCTCCTGAGGGCAGAATTCACCTTTTGGGGTTTTATGGATATTAGTACCATTTTCTACACAATAATATCCTCAAATGTTACCAACAAGGTACTATAATTTTTTAAAAATTGTTTTAGCCTGACAGCAATCATTCCCTTATTTTTTTTGCAAGATTAGTTTCCAATGTGACAACTAGCTGGCTAGAAATAATTATTTCTAATTAATATATTGGATGGCGAAAATCTTTTTGGAGAGCAATTATCAAATTACACAGTAGAGGGAATTTAAAAGGGCTATTGCCCATCTTTATAGCTCATCAATAGTTTTCCAGCCTTAACAGCTCATTGAATCATAAAAGATGAGATGGACATATTAGACATTTTTAGTAACTCCTGAAAGTTACTTGGATAAACAGCAAAATGTTTCAAACCAAAAAGAAAAGAAGTCTAATTGCCTTGACTCGACATCCAGATAGGAATCTAATGGTTAAAGTTTCAGTAAAGAATAGCAGAACTAAGTGTAACACAAATCCCCAATATAATCAAGAGTGTGTGAAACTAATGGAAATTTACAGGGCCTTTAATGATAATTATAGACACTGAGTGATACACTATTTGATCTGGAAAAATTCGATAAGATCTTGCTTCAAAGATGAAAGCAGGAGGCTCAGTTGGAACAATAAATTAAAGATAAATTTGGCATTGGCCTTTCCGCCCCCCCCCCCTTCTGGGGTGGGTCAGTTAATCTCATTTGAGAAAATTGGTTCAGCATTACCATGCTGCATTTAGCATCAATCCAATCCCTCTTGGATTAATTTTAATCTTTTTGTATTTATGCTTTTATGGCAATCTAAGCCGCCCAGAGTCACTTTGGATTGTGAGACAGGTGGCATATAAATTTAATAAATAAATAAATAACAGAACGCTCCATTTAGTTGACTTCCTATATCCCCTGCTGAGATCTTTGAACTTTGCTTCCAGTTGCAGGTTTCAGCTATTGGGAAACCTGATCACAACTGAACTCTTTACAATAAGCTCTGATTGGTGGGTAATACTTCATCCAGTTTTGGTCACCACAATGTAAAAAAGATGTTGAGACTCTAGAAAGAGTACAGAGTGCAAAGAAGAGCAACAAAGATGATTAGGGGACTGGAGGCTAAAACATATGAGGAACAGTTGCTGAAGGCAGGACAAGAAGCAACAGATGGAAACTAAGCAAGGAGAGAAGCAACCTAGAACTAAGGAGAAACTTCCTGACAGTTAGAACAATTAACCAGTGGAACAACCTGCCTCCAGAAGCTGTGAATGCTCCAACACCATGGGGACAAGACTTTGCTGACAAATTTCTGGCCAAATTCTTCAGCCCATTAAGCATTTTCTAACAGATTATGCCATACATTTTCAGGGGAAGCTAGGTGACTCACTGTTTTATGACAATGTGGCAGAGAATGAGCTGGGTGTAGGATGGGATGGTTAAAGTTTCATCATTGTCTTGAGCTGGCAGAAAATTGTTTTGCTTTCTAGGCTGCCTTTCAGATATAAAGACAGCCTTTGATCCAATCCCTAGAAAGGGGCTACAGGCAAAAATGTGACCGTCTCCTAAATTGCTGACTGCTTCAAATAATAATAATAATAATAATAATAATAATAATAATAATAATAATAATAATAATAATAATATAATTGAAACAAAGAATAATTGAGCATCTAGAACAGCACAAAAACAACAGAATAAGGCTGCCTGCATTGAAGCTTGTTCCAAAGAAACAGCTAGCACAAGCATTAAAAGATGCAAATACTGCAATAGCAAGTATAAGCACCAATTCACTGCAAGAAACAAACCAACTAATGTACAGCACAGCTGCAGTTATAACAGAATACCTGGGATGTAAAATCAACAAAAAAGAAAAACAAACAACCAGTGCACCACAAAAATGGAAGGTTAGACTAGAAAATAAGATCAGCAAGTTAAGATCACATGCAAGCAAGCTAGAACAGATGAAAGAAAAGAAGATGAAGAAAAGAAGACCAAAGAATACCTAATCAAGAAATACCACTTAGAAACAAGGAAGATCAAGGAAGCACTGGAAATAATAAAGCAACAAATAACAGCTATAGCCAGGAAAATCAGTAGATATGAAGCTCGAATTGCAAACTATAGGCAGAACCTCCAATTTCAAGCCAATCAGAAACGTTTCTACCAATCCATCAATGGAGAAACTGCAAGGAATCAGTCAGTACCTGACAAGGAAGAAACAGTGCAGTTCTGGAAGCAGATATGGGATAACCCAAAGAAATACAACAAGGATGCGGCTTGGTTAAAAGAGGTGGATGCAAATAAAACAGAAGTTGAAATGAAAGAACTAGTAATAACAACAAAACTGGTAGAAAAAAGAGCAAAGAAAATCAAAAATTGGTCAGCACCAGGTGAAGATGAACTGCATGGGTTTTGGTTGAAACATCTAACTGTTATACACCCACTCATTGCCAAGCAATTCAACAATATACTACAAGGAGGAGAAATTGAAAAGTGGCTAACAACTGGGAAAACCTACCTAATAATGAAAAATCCAGCAAAAGGGACAACACCAGGTAACTACAGGGGAAAACCTACCTAATAATGAAAAATCCAGCAAAAAGGGCAACACCAGGTAACTACAGGCCAATTGCCTGCTTACCAACAACTTTCAAATTACTAACTGGTGTGGTAGCTGATGCAGTACAACAGCATCTAGTTGAAAACAATCTCTTTCCACCTGAGCAGAAAGGAAACCGCCCCAATAGCAGAGGAACAAAAGATCAACTCCTAATAGACAAAATGATCTTGGAAAACTGCAAGAGAAGGAAGACCAACCTGAATGTGGCATGGATTGACTACAAAAAGGCATTTGACTCTCTGCCACATGATTGGATAATCAAGTGCCTAGAAATAACAGGAGTCAGTAGAAACATCAGAAAATTTGTGCAAAGATCGATGGCACAATGGAAGACACAGTTGCAGATCAATGGTGAGAAGCTGGGAGAGGTTAATATCAAGAGAGGAATATTTCAAGGAGATTCATTATCACCATTACTATTTGTTATTGCACTGTTTCCTCTGTCAACAATACTGAATAACTCAGGACATGGCTATCAAACATCAAAAACATCTGCTAGACTATCCCACCTCCTTTACATGGATGATCTGAAGCTGTATGGAAAAACATCATCTGAAATAGAATCGCTGCTCAACACTGTCCGTATATATAGCCAAGATATTGTAATGGAGTTTGGCTTGGACAAATGTGCCACACTTACTATCAAACAAGGAAAAATAGTGAAAACTGAAGGAATCAAGATGCCCCACGAAAATAACATTAAGAGTCTGGATGAGGAAGAGTACTACAAATACTTGGGTATCCTTCAAGCTGACAACATCAAGCACACTGAAGTCAAGAAAAAGATTAGAGGTGAATACATCAAGAGAGTGAAGAAGATCTTAAAGTCCAAACTCAATGGAGGAAATACCATAAAGGCAATCAACACCTGGGCAATCCCAGTCATTAGGTACACAGCTGGAATAGTGGACTGGACTCAAGCAGAACTAAAAGCAATGGATAGGCAGACCAGAAAAATAATGACAATGAATCATGCCCTTCATCCACGCAGTGACATTGATAGACTTTATCTACCAAGGCAAATAGGTGGGCGTGGAATGCTACAAGTACATCAGATGGTTGAAGAAGAAAAAATGGCTTTGGAAGAATATCTGAAGAACAATGATGAAGATGCACTGAAATTAGTATATCAGGAAGGCTTACTAACTACTGGAGAGACCAAACTGGCCTACAAGAAAGACCAAATGAAGAACAGAATAGAGGCATGGGAAGACAAAGCACTACATGGCCAATACATGAAAAAAATAGCTGGGAAAGCAGATAATAATAAAACCTGGCAATGGCTAAGAGCAGGAAAATTGAAGAAAGAGACCGAGGGACTAATTCTGGCTGCACAAGACCAAGCCTTAAGGACAAATGCATACAAAGTCAAAATTGAGAAGACAGCAACAGACAGTAAGTGCCGCCTATGCAAAGAAGCTGAAGAAACAGTGGACCACTTGGTAAGCTGTTGCAAGAAGATTGCACAGACTGATTACAAGCAGCGGCATGACAAAGTAGCAACAATGGTGCATTGGAAGATCTGCAAAAAATATCATTTGCCTGTAAGCAAAAACTGGTGGGATCATAAAATAGAGAAAGTCATAGAAAATGATAAAATTAAACTGCTCTGGGACTTCAGAATTCAAACAGACAAGCACCTGCAACATAACACCCCAGACTTAACAATTGTCGATAAGAAAGACAAAAAAGTCTGGATAGTGGACGTGGCAGTGCCTGGAGACAGCAGAATAGAAGAGAAAGAACTGGAGAAGATAACAAAATACAAAGACCTACAAATAGAAATAGAAAGACTGTGGCAAAAGCAAGCAAGGGTAGTACCAATAGTAATAGGCTCCTTGGGTGCAATCCCAAAACAACTGGAGCACCACTTGAACACCATTGGCATTGACAAATTTGCTATTAGTCAATTGCAAAAGGCGGCCTTACTAGGAACTGCTTCCATCCTGCGACGATATCTGTAATACCATCAAACATCCACATCTGCCTATCCCAGGTCCTAGGTAAGGACTCGATAGGTAGACAAAATGCCAAATCCAGTCTGAACATCTGGCTGACTGTGCGATGGTTGATAATAATAATAATAATAATAATAACAACAACAACAACAGCAACAACAACAATAATAGGAAGAGATCTTGCAAGTCATCTAGTCCAACCCCCTGCTCAGGCAGGTAACCCTATACCATTTCGGACAAATGGCTGTCCAGTCTCTTCTTAAAAACTTCCAGTGTTGGAGCATTCACCGCTTCTGGAGGCAGATTGTTCCACTGGTTAATTGTTCTAACTGTCAGGAAATTTCTCCTTAGTTCTAGGCTGCTTCTCTCTTTGATTAGTTTCCATCCATTGCTTCTTGTCCTGCCTTCAGGTGCTAATTATGAAGCTACATGGAAAAACTGTTTGAGTAAGGTGTGCAACCTTTGGTGATTCCCAGCTCTAGCACTATCCAAAACGGGGTTACGCAAGGGTGAACCCTAGGTCTCGTTTCAATTTCTGGGTCTGTTCTATAACTCAACCTTTGTAAAAAAAAAAATGAAATTCACCTTCTATTGTCTTTATTATTCACATGCCAATGACACAGTTATTCTATCTGCCACCCAAGTAAACTTAAGGTGGAGCCTTCAAGCTCTTGTATATTGGAGTAAGGGAAAACTGAAGAGTAGCTATTTTAAAATAAGTACCGTTTACCAAAAGGCAGGTGAACTGCAATCACAGCAGGAAAATAAGCAGTATCACTTTAGAACAGGGTTTCTCAATCTCCGCACATTTATGATATGTGGACTTCAATTCCCAGAATTCCTCAGCCAGCACACCCATTCTGGGATTTGAAGTCCACATGTTGTAAGCTTGCTGAGGTTACATTAGTTTAGCACAGTGGTTCTCAACCTGTGGGTCGGGACCCCATTTGGGGTCGAACGACCATTTCATGGGGGTCACCAAACAACGCAGTCCGCCATTTTTTCCCCCTTTTCCTTAGCTGTGCTACTCCCTTTTATTCTATTGGCTTTTGAAAGCCAATAGAATAGACTCTCTTGAATAGAGTCTAATTCTATTGGCTTTCAAAAGCCAATAGGAATTGTCCAGGCTGTCTCTGCCCTGCTGAACCCACCAAAAGTCCCATTCTGCAAATGGTGCTGCACCAGTTGAGTAGTCCTCGACTTACAACCGGTTGGGGGTCGCGGCATTAAAAAGGTTGAGAACCACTGGCTTAGCATAAGCTAAGGACTTTAAATATCTGGAGTTCGCTTTCAAATCATCCATAGCTTGAGATTCTGAAAAGAGTGCAGAGAAGAGTAACAAAGATAATTAGGAGTCTAGAGACTAAAATGTGAAGAACGGTTGCAAGAACTGAGTATGTCTAGTCTAGAGAAATGGAGGACTAGGGGGTGACATGATCGCAGTATTCTAGTATTTGAGGGGCTGCCCCAAACGAGAAGGGGTCAACCTATTTTCCAAAGCACCAGAAGACAAGACAAGAAGCAATGGATGAAAACTAACCAAGGAGAGAAGCAACTAAGAAGAGAAGGAGAAATTTCCTGATAGTGAGAACAATTAAGTAGTAGAGTCGCTTGCTTCAGATGTTGTGGATGCTTCATCACTGGAGATTTTTAAAAAGAGACTAGATTTATCCAGAATTATATAAGGTCTCCCGCTTGTGCAGGGGGCTGGACTAGAAGACCTCCATGGTCCCTTTCAACACTGTTATTCTGTTATTCTACAAAATTGTACCCTTCAGAGTCAGAAAACTGATGATGCAATCTTACAGTTGGCTAGCAACTATAATCCAGTAATAAGCAATAATTATGTCCCTGCAATTTTAAATATACTCAAAGCTAAAAGCACTGAGCCTTTTGCTTTATCTCTCAACAATGTGATGTGAGTGGTAGACATGAGGTCTTAGGTCAGTTAGAGGCATCTTAGGGAACCATTCTTTTCAGGAAAGGGTTACTTACCAGCTGTGCTTAGATTCCGCTGAGATCCAGAACTGGGCTGAGCAGGTGAACTTGGCCTCCCCCATAGGTTTGGATTGCTGAAGGCATTAGAGCTTGCTGCAGCTCCAATAGGATTCCCGAGACTTCCAGTGTTCCCCAAACTCCTTGGAAAGGTGCCAAAGGAATTAGGTGGACCCAGACTTAACGGGTTCCTTAAAGCCGTGTTGCCCGGAGCTGAAGTCTATGGAACAAGCATAGCATTGTTTTTTATTTAAAATTAAATGCATAGATCCAGCTAAAAGAAATGGTAAGAGGAATACACTGTATTTTTTTTTCAAAAGTGTAAGATCTACTGAAGGTCCATTCCATCATGCATTATGGGTCCGGCAGGAACCAGATTGGAGGAAATGCATAGCAAAGCGAATCATGGATTTTACCTGCTGCTCTCCTTCTCCAAAAATAGCTGGCCATCAAACGTAGACTGTCACTGGACAATAGAGTTTTCATTTAGCCCTCATTTCAAAATCCATCCTCCATGAATTTACCTGTTTTCCTAATTTTATAAGCCTCTAACCAGCACTGAGCTTTGTAAGAGAATTCTACAGTGCCAAGTTTATTTGTCTATCTTGAATCCACTGCTCTAATTAACTTGATGACTCTAAATCATCAATATTTTTTTTTGTGACAAATAGCCACAATTCTGCCTCTTAAAGTCTTCAGTCTCTGTGTTTTATTTTCAGGATGTTGTTTTTAAAATAATAAGTTCATTGACCTTTCCACAAAACTTGAATGCAACCCCTAGCAACCTATATTTTTAAAAAAAAATGAAAAAAAAAAAACCTACAGCACCAAAAATAGACAATGCATCTCCTAATTTCAGCAGCCTGATCATGCAGTTGTAAAAATCAGGCCAGCCAATTTAAACCTGGCCTTTAATTCCAGAAATAGACTAAACAAAAGAGAGTAAGTGAAACTCCAGTTGATTTTCCAATACTTATTTTCTTAAAAAGCTATCTTGTTTTATACTATACGTGTTTTATTTTCATGAATGCCACTTGCAAACAAAGATATATTTAGCATCCTGAAATCCTACAAAACATCTTGCGGCATTTTCTAAAATCAGAGATGGACCCTCCTAATTTTTTCTTTTCCTTTAGTATCATTTTGCTCTATTGCCACAACGAATCCCCTTTTCTGGCTTAGAAAATTATTTAAATCTTTAAAGTTACATAAGTGAATGGAATGCAGAGGAGATACAGGATAGCAAAGAGGCTGGGTTAACATAAACCCTAAAGACTAAATAGACGTTTCATAAAAAAGGGATTTTTTTAAAAAACAGATTTGCTTATTTCTACATACTATCTACAGGTAGTTCTTGACTTACAACCATTCATTTAGTGACAGTTTGAAGTTACTACAGCCCTGAAAAAAAGTGATTTATGACTTTTTTTCACACTTAACAACCGTTGCAGCATCCCCATATTCACATGATCAAAATTTGGGCGCTTGGCAACGGGCATGTATTTATGACAGGGTCACGTGATCCCCTTTGGCAATCTTCTGACAAGCAAAGTCAATGGGGAAGCCATGTTCACTTAACAGCCATGTTACTAACTTAACCATTGCAGTGATTCACTCAGCAACCATGGCAAGAAGGTCGTAACATGGAGCAAAACTCACTTAGCAACTGTTTGGCTTAGCAACTGAAATTTTGGACTTAGTTGTGGTTGTAAGTTGAGGACTCTCTGCATAGCTCTTCAACGCTAGCCTGCCCCCACCCTAAATTGGGACTGCTGAGACCAGCCCTTCCACCCAGGAGTAACTTGGGTGCAGATGAGAAGGTCCCAGGGGTGCCTACAGTGATAGGATTCAAATATGTGAATAACCGGTTCTCTGTGTGGACACTGCTTCCGGAAGTCCATTCTGGCCCTGGGCAACAAAAAATTAGCTACCGGTTCTGCTGAAGTGGTGAGAACCAGCTGAATCCCACCAATGGGTGCGTACAATTGTGCAATTGAGGGCCCACCCCTCTTTTACATAGATCCCTTGGGCACCACTGGTATAAAAGAGCAGGGCTCAGCCTCAGCCACCATCCTGCTTTTGGGGGGTCAACTGCCATCCCTTGTAGAAGCTTCTACAGCCCAGGGCCACTCTAGCAGCAGCTGTTTGTAGAATCTCTGAACTGCTGAGATCGGGTCTAGTGGAAATGCCAGGGGAGGAACCCTGCCCAAAAGGAACAGAAAGTGGGGTCTTTGTTTACCCTCAGGCTGATGCAGGCCTGTTTGGTCTGCTGGAGCTGCAGCTTCAAGCTTTCGGTCTCATCAAGCATCTTCCTGTATTCGCCTCTTATTTTCTGAGTTTGAATTTCTTGGGCTTCTTGCAGGGCCTTCTTCTGCCACTCAAACTGCTGCTGCTGGACTCTGATCTGCTGGTCCCGTTCCTGCAGGTGTTGCTTACAGGCAGCTTTCTGGCTTTGCAACAGGGCATTCTCTTGAGTCACCTCGTTGGCCTTCTTGTCAAGTTGTTGTCCCACAGAATCAAGATGGGTCTGTAGATTTCTGAAGAGAGAGCGGAACGTGTTTTCAACCTCAGAGCGGTAACAGCCACGACCCTCATAGGAATTCAAAAACTGGTCCCCTGAAGTCCTCAAGTTCTGAAGGGCAGGTTCTAGCTGTTGGACCACTGTGGACTTGAGCTCCTGGTACTTCTGTTCCCGTGTTTGCAGCTGGAGTTTGTCTAGCTGGCATTCGTTCTTCTCTTTCTCTGCATTTTCGGCTTTGTCTTGCCAAGACTTGCTGTCCCGGCTTAAGCTGTCTCGCTCCATCTGGCTTGTCAGCTCTGTGGCCACCAGCCGCTTCTCCAGAGAACTCACTTGTGCTGTAGACCAAGCAACAAGCACAAAAGCCAGCCGGTCAATACTGCAAAACTGAACAAGACTGTGTGCATTAAAGAACCCTCTTCTTCCACCACATCACCACAGATGTCTTTGCAATTATAATCAGAAAAAAATTAAAATACTGATTACATATAATTAAGCTAAGTCACTTTTTAGAACTGCAGCCTCCCATAACAATGTTCACATAGCAGTATGCCAATATTTGAGGGGCTGTCACAAAGAAGAGAGGGTCAACCTATTTTCCAAAGCACCAGAAGGCAAGACAAAAAACAATGGATGGAAAATCATCAGGGAGCGAAGCAACCTAGAACTAAGGAGAAATTTCCTAACAGTGAGAACAATTAACCAGTGGAATAATTTGCCTTCAAAAGTTATGGGTGCTTTTAAGAAGAGACTGGACAGCCACTTGCTTGGAATGGTATAGGGTTTTCTGCTTTAGCAGGGAGTTGGACTAGAAGACCTCCAAGGTCTCTTTATTCTATTCTATTCTATTCTATTCTATTCTATTCTATTCTATTCTATTCTATTCTATTCTATTCTATTCTATTCCATTCCATTCCATTCTATTCTATTCTATTCTATTCTATTCTATTCTATTCTACCCACACCATGGTCAGAGATGGTCAGACACCAGAGTTAGGGAGTGAAAGATTATCTGCATGGCAAATCAGTTCTCTGGTTTCCTGGCCCATCCACCCTCCAAATATTGACATTTTGCACCAATCAAACCTCTTGAACTGTTTTCAAAGACAGCCCAAAGACAATGTAAACAGTATTTGAAAGGAGGAATCAGAAAGAGGTATAGGTAGAAAACATCACTTTAGATTTCTCTGGCTATGTGTTAAAGACTAAAGATGGGTTTGCAATACTCACCAACGCAAGTAATATTCAAAAGCTGCAAGTTGAATTTATTTTCATTTGCTGCTGAGAGAGCTGCTGTATTGCTCAGCTGTTGTTCCTTCAGCTTTATCTAGAAAAGAATGGAAAATCTATTATGTTTCTTCAATAGCTGCTGGGGAATAACAGAACAGCTGCTGGCTTGCTTTCCAGCCTTCTCAGCTTTGGAGACTCCTCTGATTAAATAGATTTTAACCAATGGCTTGTATGAGTTCTAAGAAATTAAATCAGCCTCCAATAGGTGTATAAACACCACTGTGGTTGTGAAATGGTTAATCTCATTTAAAAAATATCCAATCTATACAAGAATTAACTATCACAAACTACACTGAAATGGGAAACAACCTGTCATTATGTTTCTTCCATGCCTGGTTGGGCACAAATCCCCCACTACCCAAGCAATCTCATCAGCTATTTTCGCACAAATGTCCTTCTCCACTCCCTGGGAGAAGATTGTTCACAAATTGGCCACTCCTGGTGTTTAACCTTCTCTTGCAAGGAGCTGTTCACTTTCCATGGGTCTGTGCATCCCTTCCTCTTAGAGTCAATCTACTTCAATTCTGTCTTCTGCAGCATCCCCAAAGCCATCCCTCTTTTGTTTGTCAGCAAGTGTTCAATATCCTAGAAGGGTTTAATGATCTAGAATTCTGCCCCTCCCCCACCAAAGTTCCTAGGACTGGAGACAGTCTCTAGAAAAGATCTGAACAGCTTTGGGGGTTGCAAAACACCTACTTTGTTAAATCGCAGTGCTATCATCTGAAGCTGAAAGAATCCAACACATCTTATTTCCAACAATGCCTAAAGGCAGAAGTATTTTTCCTTGGTGTTTATTCTCTAGTATCTGCTACTTCAGAGACAGCCTCTGAATATGGAAGTTTAACGTAGCCATCATGACTAATAGCCGTGCTTGTATTCAAACGTGTCTCCACACCCTTCGCCTTCACTGAAAGATTTGGCTTTCCCTCTATGCAAGCAATTGTCACCAGAAATAACAGCAAATTCCATAAAGAAATGAAATATATTAAATTTGTTTATTGATTTATTTATAAAATTTATTGGCCGCCAACCTTACCATAGCTGGCTCAGGAATTCTGGGAGTTGAAGTCCATGAGTCATAAAAGAGCCGAGGTTGCCTACCCATGCCATAGGGTAACAACTTAAATTTAAATTAAATTAAATAACTTAATATTTAATTAATTTGTAATGCCCTATTTAATGGGCAGATCTTTCATGCACTTCATAATCCACCCTCGTTGTCCAGGCTCTTGTCATTTTCCTCCTTCCTTTGGAAAAGGAACTCAACTTCATGACTATAAGTGAGTAGAAAAAGGCTGGGTCTGGGGCGATGTTCTTCCTCTCCCAGGACTTACCTTTTCATTGTTGCAAAGCCTCAGGGTGGTGTTTAACCTGAGCATTTGAGTCTGTAACAGACGGCCTTCCTTCTCCGTGGCATTCAGCTGGCGCTTGAGTTTGCCAATCTCTTCGTTGAGGGCTTTGATCTTCTTATCGTTCTCCTGAAGCTGGTTTGTCAACCCCTTGAGGTGTTTCTCAGTGCCTTCCAGGGGGTTGCTGTAGATCATGAAAAGTACCAGTCCCAGAATGATAAGGAACTGGATGAGGGAGAGGAAGAGGAAGAAATATTTCATGTAGAAGCCACAATCCCGCTTTGGCTGGCCGTCCTTGGTGTCTAGGCCCAAGGTGGCCATGGTGTATGCATTCTTCTCCATCATATTATCAACTGCCTTGGTCAGTTTGCGATTCAGCCTTTGGGTTCAACTGGGTGGCGACATACATCTCCAATTGTTTATATGGCATCTGATTAATATTTCCTCCCACTTGGCTCCTTGTTTCCTTCCTGCTTAGTTGGAGAAGCTGGTGGTTATGGGTTAGCATAACACAGCCGCCATTCCAAGGAGGCAGTTTTGTTATCAGTGAATCAAAGAAGGCTTCCTCTTTCCTTGTTTGTTTTCTGCCGGCCCACTCTCACCCCCTTGTCAAAACAAGGCCGGCATGGCCTCCTCTTCACTAACTTGGTCTCAGAGGACCCTCTGAAAGACGTCAACGACATCTCTTGGCAGAGGGTGGGATCAACCCAAAGTGATGTTTGTCACCTAAACAGCACACACTATGCTGCACAGAAGCCAAACAGAGTAGAGCAATCATGTCCTGTCCTGCCCTTTTCCTCCTCTTTGCCCTCCAAAACTGAATCACGAACAAGAGAGCCATGGAGATGTAGGGTTGAATTAGAAATCCAGTGTTGGGAGACCTACTAATTATATGCCCCTGCATAAGATTGGAAAGGAAAGGAAAATTTTATAAAGTTGGAAGGGACCGTGGAGGTCATCGAGTCCAACCCCATGCTCCGGCAGGAAATCCTAAACCATTTCGGACAAATGGCTGTCCAGTCTCTTCTTAAAAACTTCCAGTGTTGGAGCATTCACTGCTTCTAGAGGCAGGTTGTTCCATTGGTTAATTGTTCTAGCTGTCAGGAAGTTTCTCCTTAGTTCTAGGTTACTTCTCTCCTTGATTAGTTTCCACCCGTTGCTTCTTGTCCTGCCTTCAGGCGCTTTGGATAATAGATTGATCCCCTCTTCTTTGTGGCAGCCCCTGAGATATTGGAACACTGCTATCATATCCCCCCTTGCCCTTCTCTTAGTTAAACTAGACATACCCAATTCCAGCAACCGTTCCTTATATGTTTTAGCCTCCAGTCCCTAATCATCTTTGTTGCTCTGGTGGGTTCTGGTGGGTAAAAAGACATGAAGAATCTGGATGGTTCCTTAGGCTACAGGTGGTTCCTACAGGTACAATAGCTCTCAACGTACAACTACAATTGAGCCCAAAATGTATGTTGCTAAGTGAGAAATTTGCTAAGTGAGTTTTGCCCCATTTTACAACTTTTCTCATCACATTTCTTCAATGAATCACTGCAGTTGTTTAATTAGTGGCACGGCTGTTAAGTGAATCTGTTTCCCCCATTGACTTGGCTTGTCAGAAGGTTGCCAAAGGGGATCACATGACCCTGGGACACTGCAACCGTCATAAATGTGGGTCAGTTGTCAAGCATCCAAATGTAAATCATGTAACCGTGGGAATGCCGCAATGGTCACAAGTGTGAAAAATGGTCATGAATCCCTTTTTTCAGTGTTGTTGTAACTTCGAACGGGCACTAAGTGAACTGTTGAACAGTCACTTCTGGCCACCCAAGCGATCATCTGAGGGACCCATAAGCTCTTTGGAAAGCACCTCCATATTCTAGGACCACATGGCAATTTGGGGCATTGTGATTTGGGGAGGAGGGGAGGTCTTTTGAAAATCTATTGAAGACTTAGAATAAGATGCTAAATCTCTGGGAGGCTTGTCACCCTTCATTTTATATAAACAACCTCTAATCCAGTGGTTCTCAGCCTGTGGGTCGGGACCCCATTTGGGGTCGAACGACCATTTCACGGGGGTCGCCAAACAACGCAGTCCGCCATTTTTTTCCCCTTTTCCTTAGCTGTGCTACTCCCTTTTATTCTATTGGCTTTTGAAAGCCAATAGAATAGACTCTCTTGAATAGAGTCTAATTCTATTGGCTTTCAAAAGCCAATAGGAATTGTCCAGGCTGTCTCTGCCCTGCTGAGCCCGCCAAAAGTCCCATTCTGCAAACGGTGCTGAGTAGTCCTCGACTTACGACGGTTGAGTAGTCCTCGACTTACGACCGGCTGGGGGTCGCGGCATTAAAAAGGTTGAGAACCACTGCTCTAATCCCTCCAATCTTGACAAAACTCCATTGGACTGGGCCCCAGATACAGATAATTAGGGTCAGAAGTCGCTCCTTAAACAAGGTCTTGGTTTTATTTAATCTTTTTTTTTTAATGGGTGACTGCTTGTGATGTTACATCTCAAACTATGATGCCTCTGACAGCTGTCTGCAAGTATCCGTAGTTTTCAAGTTATGGCCACAATTGGGGCCAGAATTTCCATTGCCAAGCAAGGTGATTGTTAAGCGACTCACATGCAATTTTATGATCTTTTTGTTAAGCAAATCACTGCACTTGTTAAGCGAATCATGTAATCATTAAGTGAATTCAGCTTCCCCTGATCACAAAAGATGATCACAGGATGCTGCAACCGCTGTAAATACATGTCAGTTGCCAAACACTCCGATTTTCATCACATTACCATGGAGATGCTGCAATAGTCATAAGTGCGAGGACTGGTCGTAATTCATTTTTTTCCATGCCGTTGTAACTTTGAGCAGTCGCAGAAGTCTCTCTCTCTCTCTCTCTCTCTCTCTCTCTCTCTCCCTCTCTCTGTGTGTGTGTGTGTGTGTGTGTGTGTGTGTGTGTGTGTGAGAGAGAGAGAGATTGTCTCAGGAATACTGGAGATTCTTAGCCTGATGTGTTCCACCCAATTGAATTACAACAGAGGTAGAGATTGTTGCAAAGCTTTATTCTCTGCAGAATAACGATGCTTGGGAATAGGCTCCAAATCAAGCATGTTGTCTGTTTCAGGATAAGTTCCTTTTATCCAATTCTCGACAAAGCATGTCCCCTTAAAGGACTATCACTATACAGTCATAAATCATTGGGTCTTAGATCTTTTGTTGCCTTTCTGTTCCCACCATTGCTGCTTCCCTGTTATCACTAAATAGAATCTCCAATTAGCTTATTTTCTGTAAAGCCCTGTTTATCTCTGCTCCATGGAAACTGTCCTATTGTTCTCACATTTCATGTCCTGTTGGTTTAATAATTTCCTCACAATTGCATGCAGTTTTACTATCTATTATCTTTTTTATAACTCTACAATTTGCTGTTATTTCCTTGAGATTATTCCCTTTTCTTTCTCCAATAAAATGGCTGCATCAAAACTGTAAAAACATCCTGTCTTAAATACAGCTTAAAAGGCTATCTAATTAGCATTTAGGCACCAGGTAATTTACTCCTTCTTAGATCAGAATAGAATAGAATAGAGCTAGAAGGGACCTTGGAGGTCTTCTAGTCAGCCCCCTGCTCGAGCAAGAGAATCTATACTATCTCAGACAAGTGACTATCTATTCTAGTCTCTTTTTAAAAACCTCCAGTGATGGAGCGCCCACAATGTCTGAAGACAAGCTGTTCCACTGATTAATTGTCCTCACTGTTTCTCCTTAATTCCATATTGCTTCTCTCTTTGGTCAGTTTCCAACCATTGTTTCTTGTCCTGCCCTCTGTGCTTTGGAGAATAGTTTGACCCCCCCCCCTTCTTCGTGGCAGCCCCTCAAATACTGGAATACTGCTATTATGTCTTTTCTTTAGACTAGCCAAACCCAAGTCCTGCAGCTGTTCTTCATATGTTTTAGTCTCCAGACCAGTGTTTCTTAATCTCATGAACTTTAAGATGTGTGGACTTCAACTCCCAGAATTCCTCAGCCATGGGAAATTCCGGGAGTTGAAGTCCACCCATCATATAATAATAATAGTAATAGTAATAACCTGGCAATGGCTAAGAGCAGGAAAATTGAAAAAAGAGACCGAGGGACTAATTCTGGCTGCACAAGACCAAGCCTTAAGGACAAATGCATATAAAGTCAAAATTGAGAAGACAGCAACAGACAGTAAGTGTCGCCTATGCAAAGAAGCTGAAGAAACAGTGGACCAGCTGGTAAGTTGTTGCAAGAAGATTGCACAGACTGACTACAAGCAGCGGCATGACAAAGTAGCAACAATGGTGCATTGGAAGATCTGCAAAAAATATCATTTGCCTGTAAGCAAAAACTGGTGGGATCATAAAATAGAGAAAGTCATAGAAAATGATAAAATTAAACTGCTCTGGGACTTCAGAATTCAAACAGACAAGCACCTGCAACATAACACCCCAGACTTAACAATTGTCGATAAGAAAGACAAAAAAGTCTGGATAGTGGACGTGGCAGTGCCTGGAGATAGCAGAATAGAAGAGAAAGAACTGGAGAAGATAACAAAATACAAAGACCTACAAATAGAAATAGAAAGACTGTGGCAAAAGCAAGCAAGGGTAGTACCAATAGTCATAGGCTCCTTGGGTGCAATCCCAAAACAACTGGAGCACCACTTGAACACCATTGGCATTGACAAATTCGCTATTAGTCAATTGCAAAAGGCGGCCTTATTAGGAACTGCTTCCATCCTGCGACGATATCTGTAATACCATCAAACATCCACATCTGCCTATCCCAGGTCCTGGGTAAGGACTCAATAGGTAGACAAAATGCCAAATCCAGTCTGAACATCTGGCTGACTGTGCGATGACCAATAATAATAATAATAATAATAATAATAATAATAATAATAATAATAATAATAATAATAAAAAAGTTGGAAGAGACCTTGGAGGTCATCTAGTCCAACCCCCTGTACCATTTCGGACAAATGGCTGTCCAGTCTCTTCTTAAAAACTTCCAGTGTTGGAGCATTCACCGCTTCTGGAGGCAGATTGTTCCACTGGTTAATTGTTATGTCAGGAAGTTTCTCCTTAGTTCTAGGTTGCTTCTCTCCTTGATTAGTTTCCACCTGTTGCTTCTTGTCCTGCCTTCAGGCGCTTTAGAGAATAGCTTGACTCCCTCTTCTTTGTGGCAGCCCCTGAGATACTGGAACTCTGCTATCATGTCCCCCCTCGTCCTTCTCTTCATTAAACTAGACATACCCAATTCCAGCAATCGTTCCTTATATGTTTTAGCCTCCAGTCTTAAAGTTGCTGAGGTTGAGAAACACTGATTTCATTTAAATATATAGAAGAGCTCTCCTTGAGAGTGAGAACTAGGCAACAGCCTTTGGAGATTGAGTCCTCCATCCTTGGAGGTTTTAAAAACAGGCTAGGAAGC